AGATCTCGGAGTACGGCAGATATGTGAACCAATTGTGGGTTTTGACGTATACTGTAGTACTTGGGAGGGGAGTCAGATGGTGTTATCAGATGCTATTGCTCTCGTAAATTATTAAAAAGCAGTCACAGATATTAGTGAGTGAGTTAGGAAAAATGTTTGTTAGAAAATCGTTTGTAATGAATGTGAAAAATGCAAGTGATAAAAATAAGTAGAGAAAGGGGACTATGATAATGTTAGACTGAATGAATAAAGAATCGAAGAAATGGGTTGTTTTAGATAGTTAAGAATGGCTATGTCATCAAATGCAATAATTAGTAATGAATTGACCCAAAGAGTTACTAAAGAAAAGAGTAAGTAATGGATTGTTTGTACAGTTTACTTGTACTCTAACTTAAGTAACATATCGCAGTATTTTTCTACGCCTCTGTAGACACCATAATATGTAGTGATTACATCGTATAACCAAGCTTTTCATTGTATAAAAAGTAAAGTTCATTTCTACATTACTTTATCGTCCTTCGTTTAGATTATTTCTTACATGCCACCATTACCCGAGGACATATACATAAATGAGTGAAACACAGTGAAGAGAAGACTGTGAACACAGAGACAATACTTGTGAAGAACTTTTTATGTTGCTTCTAAATGTACAAGTTAGACTCATTAACTATGATGAAGAACCTTGTGCACACAGGCAATTGTAGTGAAGGAGATTTTTTATGTTGCTTCTGAATAAATAACTTTTACGTACACTACACAACAACACATGATGGCAGCCCCCTCAGGGACTTCCTAGTATCTTCTATACGTACTGAAGATATGTTAAAAAGCGACAGGATATTGGTGATATAATATTTTGGTATAGTTCCGTAGTGACGTGAGTCTGTGTTCTTATTTCTGAATGTCTGAATATCTTCGCTTTTCTTGATGTACTTGTGTGTATGTTCAAGTGTTTGTTAGTTGATATATTCATGTGTGTTTTTATATGTTTGTTTTCGTAATTTTATACGTTTCTATAAGTTCTTTTATCATAATCACCACTTATCAGTTTATTAGCCGTTCGGGCGGTTGATCTATCCAGTGTTAGTACCGGAGGAAACCGGAGACCGAGAAACCTGTCATGTTTGGTTGGGTCACATGTGTCCAGGATCGAACCATTGATATCTTGGCGAGAGATACTCGCGTAACCGCTGTCCCACCAACAGTTATTTTGCACATTTTTAGCATGTGTATTTGATTTTGTGTACAGTGCATGTTTCCCTGTGTGTGTCTGTGGAGGCTATGGTGAACCAGATCCACATCGGGAAGAAACTAACTCCGACCAGCGACCATAACTGTACATACTAAGATGGACTACAATCGAGAGAAAGTGGTTAAGGAGGAACACTATGACCTCAACCATGGAGATTACAAGGGAGGAAATCGTTAGAGAGAGGAGGCAGACATAGACGAATCAATGCAAAACTTGGAAATCTTTGATTTAACAGTCGAGGAATGTATACCCCGGAAACATGATGATGGAACAGGACCAGGTGGACGAATCACACATCTACGGAAGCCTGTAATGTAAGAAAAAAATATGAGACGTGGAAGAAGTACCAGAGCACAGGGCATCGTGCGGACTGTGCTGTATTCAGAAGATCGCTAAATATGGCCAATCAGGAAATTTTTATCAGCCAAACGGCATTTTGAGATGAAATTCACCCATAATATTAAGAAATATCCCAAGTCAGGTTATGCATATGCCAGGAGTAAAATAAAAAAAACAAGGAGAATTGTCGGCCTCTAAGGGACGAAAAACAACTTTGCCCTGGGGGATGATAGACAAACAGCTGACACCTTAAATAAATATTTTACATCAGTACTCACATAAAAGACAATGAATAACATGCCACTACCAAAGAGAATGTATGCCTTAGGGGTGGTAAATGAATTAATGTAATAATTATTCACGATATCATCAAAAGTAAAGTAGCCACCTTAGAGGAATTCCAAATCCCCGGAGTGGACGGAACACAGACCAAACTGAGAGATTTGCACCCCACTAAGACTTTCATTAAGGAAATCCTTGGATAAAGATAACGCGCTGATGGACTGGAAATAAGTCAACGTCACCCTAGTATACAAGAAGGGTAGGGAAACTGCAGCGGAAAACTACAGGCCGATCAGTCGAACATCATATACATGCAAGCTCTTTCAAAAATTCTCAGGACGCCATCATCCAGCACCTGACCGATCACTATTTTTTCAACTCATCACAACAATTTTTGTTTTGTTTTACTTTTATATTATAAGTATATACATATTTTACAGTGGAGTTGATACAAAAGTAATCTGGTAAGTGAGGGAAGCAATGCAACAAGGGTAGTGTGAAGGTAAATATATAATTATTGCAATGGTAATTTATAGACACGTGACAATATATGATATAATTGTTTTGATGGTAAGGTGAGTGTTACAAAAATAATGATATTTGGAAAATATATATGTTTTATGAGATAATTTAAAGGAAGGGGCATAGTCCTTACTCGAATGGGTGGGGGTAAGTTGTTTCACACCGTCATGCCATGATAATTTATGAAAGTTTGGGATTCAGAGGAGCGCATGGGGGTTGGTCTTAGTAGGTGTGGGTGTCTTGCATTTTTCTTCTCTTTTTGCTGCCCGTTGACAGCTTAGGTCATTACGGCCGAGGCTGGGTGTCTAAATTGTTCCTTTGATTAAACCGGAACAGGAAATAATTATTTTCAATCAAGTGATTAATTTATTATAGAGCACAGCAATAAGTGTTTCGGGAATTGTTCGTTACTGTGATTATTTTTTTTAATTAGGTCATTGTCCGCACAACTCTCTTCTGGACAGTAACCAGGGGCTGTGTCTTAGTGGTGCCGGAGGCCCCCATAGAATATGGCAGTATATCAAGTGTTGGTAGACAAGGTCATAATAGATTTCTTTCATTGTTACACGAGTGAGTGACTGACGAGTGTGATAAAGGTTACAGCTAATTCTTGGACTATTTTTGTTGATCTGCGCCTCATTTATTTCAAATAATTGAACATGACATCGTAGGTATACAGTTGGATGTGCATGTATACAATGCGGGTATACAGTTCAACGTGCATACAGACAATGCAGATAAAGAGTTCAACATTCACATACACAACTCAAGTATAAAGTTCAACAAATATATAAATACCAGGTATACAGTGTATATAGACCAAGCAAGTATGCACACAATGTTAATAAGTAAGTCAATTAGGCCAAGGCTATCCAACAATGCCAACAGTTGCTTATTTCAAGTTGTTTCCTTTACAGTTTCTTCGCTCTATAGTTAAGTCGTCGCGGTCTATATCGTCTGTTGAGGATAACTGGCTCCTAAGTGGAGCGGCATAGCTACAATTTTCATAACAATTGTGCATTTAATGATGAAAGCACCAAATTTGGCACAGCGATGGAGTAATGAGATATGAACATTTTCAGATATGGAACCACTCGATGCTGGATTTGAGTGGCCGCTATAAATTAGGGGCGGATCCAGGAAAAAATTCAGGTTTCACCACGTTACTGTCTTATCCTGTGAGACCGTCTAATACTGAGAAGCATAGGGAAATAATAGGCTATATGAAGAAAGAAAAGGTCAAACCCCAGTATTCACCTTGGTCCAACCATTGTTTGCAATAGCCAAACAGATTCAGTGGAATTGGCCTTTAAAATTACGGCGAAGAGAAATTTATTATGATTCTGGGCGGTCTTCACATTGAAATGGCGGCTCTGAGGATGGCAGGCAGTTGGTTGCAGGGTAGCGGGAGGGCAGAATCCCTGGTGCAAGCCGATATTGCCAGCCCAGGAACTGCGAACTCTTTCCTAAAGGCTGCTCACGTCACACGCACCAGGCGAGGCCATCAGATAACAGCAGCAACCCTGAACATCCTACAGCACAAGGCTTAAGGCAAATACACTGAAGATGCCCAAAGTGATGGTCATGAGCCCCTAGAGTTTGGTGTCT